TTTGGCAGATGAGGAATAAATGCACAACTGCCATCAAATCTCAGACCTCCAAAAATCTAAATGACAACAACAGATTCTGGAAAACCATAAAATCTCTCTCAGGCAGCCCCCAATCATCTGATCTCCCATCACAAGTTCTCGTTAAATCTGTTCCTGTGTCAAATAAGCACAAGATCCTGAACTGTTTCAACAAACATTTTGTTGTTTCTAGTTCATTATTTGACACAGTTACTAATGGAAAATCAGCCATTTCATTTAATAACCAAACTTCTACAAATCACATCCCTCCTATAAGTCAATCCTCAGTTAATCACACCTTCTCTTTTTCTTTGTTCTCAGTTAGTGAGGTAAATAAACTGTTAAAAGGTCTTGATCCTAAAAAATCTGCAGGACCAGATGATCTTCCACCTTATTTCTTAAGGCTGGCTGCTCATATCATCACAGTCCCTGTGACCCACATCTTTAATCTTTCCATAAGCCAAAACTCCATTCCAGACACTTGGAAAACAGCCTTTGTTCTTCCTTTGCTGAAGGGAGGTGACCCCACTTCACTGAACAACTATCGGCCACTCTCTAAACTCTGCATTTTAGCCAAGGTTCTAGAAAAACTGATAAACTCTCAAATCAAAAATTACCTGGACTCATTTAACATCTTACCTCGCCATCAATCTGGTTTCAGGAAACAACACAGCACAACGACTGCTTCACTGAAGGTTCTTAATGACGTTGTTGAAGCACTGGATGCTAAGGATTATTGTGCTGCACTTTTCTAAAGCTTTTGACACTGTGGATCATAACATCTTGTGTCATTGTCTCTCAGAAATCGGTTTCCCAGATCACACCATTGGTTGGTTCTCTATCTCTCAGATCGGACGCAATGTGTTAAACATAATGGTACTTCCTCCAGTTATTTAACAGTCAACAATGGTGTACCACAAGGCTCAGTCTTAGGACCCATCCTCTTTACAATCTACATTGGTAATGTAGGTCAAAACATCCCTGTTGCATCCATACATTTCTATGCTGATGACACAGTTGTTTATTGTCAAGCTAAAACAGTTGATAAGGCTTTCCAGCTTTTGCAATCTGCATTTAACATCATCCAGTCTGATTTGTTCTGCCTCAAACTTGTCCTAAATGCCGACAAAACCAAAGAGATGCTTTTTTCAAACAGGAAGTCGGTCCCAGCAGTTCTTCCTCCGATTTTATCCTCAAATGATGTCCCCATTGAGTTAGTTGATTCCTATAAATATTTGGGTATCTTGGTCGACTCGCATCTCTCTTTTAAGCTCCATGTGGAAAACCTAGTAAAGAAACTGAAAGTTAAACTGGGTTTCTTTTCCAGAAACAGATCCTGTCTAATTCTGAATGCTAGGAAACGCATTGTATCTGTGACTCTCCTTCCCTCCATTGATTATGGTGACATTATTTACATGAACGCTCCTACAAGAACCCTGCAAATGTTGGATGCTGTCTATCATGGTGCACTAATATTCATAACTGGCTGTGATTATTGTACCCACCACTGCACCCTGTATTCACTGGTTAACTGGACATCATTAACTTCACACAGACTCTCCCACTGGTACATTTTCATCTTTAACTCACTTCTTGGTCTGCTGCCTTCATACATCTCCTCTTACATGTCTCTGCGTGAGTGCAGATACAGCGTACGCTCTCAGGACATTATTACCTGCAGTGTTCCCTCAGTGCAGACTGAACTTGGCAAAAGGGCCTTCTCCTACTCCGCTCCTGTTTCCTGGAATATCTTACAAAAAGATTTGAAGCTCTCAACCATGACCTCTCTAAGTGGCTTTAAAAATCTGTTGGACTCCTGGCAGGGACCAATGCAAACATGTTCCTGTTTTTAGTTTTCTACATTCGCCTTATAATCTAGCTGTTTTCTTACTCTTTTTGCTATCTTTAGATTAAGGTTATCTTAAGATTAACTTTTTGAAAGGAATTATGGAAGTTAAACAACTTTTCCTTGATATTCTCATTTTTGGAAAGGGTCTATATATATGGCTCCTTCTGCACATTCAGCAGCTAACACTACAGTCGTCTTTTCCAGCAGGAAAACTCAGAGATATTATAGTTACAAGGAAATCTGAAGAGAATGCTTTCATTTGTTTTCACACCCAGTGAAGTGGTTTGTTAGTACTCTCCAGAAAGTGATTAAATTAAGTTTTATTTGTGTCCATATGCTTGTGTACTGAATGTGTTTGATGAACTGTGGCCAACTTGAGTGCTGCATGTTTTGTAGATGTTGAATGAAAAAAGTCATGACTCAAACTGTATTATAAATTGTGTTCAAGGTTCAAGGTTCTTTATTGGTCATACACACCACATGTGGTACATGTGGTGGAACAAAATTGTGTACACAGGGTCCCAGTTACATCCAACAAGAAAATGTAAAAGATAAACAGTAATAACATGTAAGATATGAACTAATAAAAATGTTAACTAAAAATACACTAAGCACTAGTAGTACAAAAACAATATGCCAAACAGCAGCACGAACATGAGTCTGTGTGAGCAGATGAGTACGAATGAACTAGGGATGCACAATATTTAAAAATTGTGTAACAGCTGTAAGAGCTGGTGACATATATTCCATAACAGCCATATGATATGCATAGCACTTTGACTTATATTAAATGAAAAGTGATAAATATTTATTAGCATTAGTCACCTGTGATGTTGTCTCACTTGTGGAGGCTTGTTCCAGGTTCCTAGCTGCAGTGTGGGATCCTCTGCACCCCTGTGCATGAAGGACAGACTTTTTAATTTCAAGTTTTTGTCTGTCCATTGTGCCGTAAGACTAATCATGCTAACAGGGCTAACACAACGTCCAAATGTCTGTGGTAAAACTCACCCAAGTGCTATTAGCTTCTTAATGATGTCGGAAACGACAGCTGGTAACTCGGGTAAGGTTACGTCAGAAAAATATCTCGGACGATCTCTTGTAAATGAGTCCTCGAGGCTCAATGGGATTAACCTGTCTAAATAAAGGATGAATGCATGTAGCGAGGCTCAACGTAGTCCAAAAATCTTTAGAATCCTATATCCTCAATGAAAAACAACCTTCCACATCCCCGACATTTTGACGTCTTCCTCTCCATCGTGATCAGATCAGGTAGGCGTGTGTGACGTCATCACGATGTGCTGGCGCTGCAGGCATCCTCGTCACTGGGTTGCCATATAAAAACAGCGTGTTTTATATCGGTGAGTTATTTTGATGGAATGGCCGATATTTAATTTTAATGCTAATCTCGCCCGATGCCTATTCCATGCCGATAATATCATGCATCCCTAGAATGATAAAAAAAAAAGTTCAATCTGGTCCTCTGGACATTCAAAAAAAAAAAAAAAAAGCAAAAAAAAAAATATATATTTTTTTCTTTTTATTTAATTGAATTTAAATTTTTTTTTAATTTTTTTTTTTTTTTTGAATGTCCAGAGGACCAGATTGAACTTTTTTGGATTTTTCTACCTGGATTATTGAGCATGCATCATATCATATCCCTAGAACGAACACATCAACATGAAACGGATCAGCAGCAACATGAAATAGATCAGCAGCAACATGATGTGATTTTTCACAGTGAATATTTTGGTTAGAGTTTCATGAGTCTAACAGCCTCAGGGTAGAAGCTGTTCCTCAGTCTAGTGGTTCTGCACTTAATGCTCCTCAACCTCCTGCCTGAGGGGAGAGGGGGCAAAAAGTGTGTGTTCTGGGTGAGCGGAGTCTTTCATGATGCAGGTGGCTCTTTTTCTGCATCTGGAGGTGTAGATGTCTGTAATGGTGGGGAAGCTGACTCCAACAGACTCCTGTGCAGCCTTCACCACTCTCTGCAAAGCTTTTCTTTCTGCACAGGATGCTCTCCACTGCACACCTGTAAAAGGAGGTGAGGACTGAGCTTCCCAGACCAGCTCGTATCAGCCGTCTGAGGAAGTAGCATCTCTGATGAGCTTTCTTGATCAGGCTGGTAGTGTTGTTGCCCCAGCTGAGGTTGTCATTCTTGTGTACACCCAAGTACTTGTAGCTGGAGACCACTTCCACCACAGATCCTCCTATGTTCCGGGGGAGGGGGGGGGGGGGGTAGGTGTGTTTGTTCTTTCTGAAGTCCACGACCATCTCCTTTCGCGTCTTCACATTGATGTGAAGGTTGTTCTTCCTGCACCAGCTCTCTAAGACGTGCCATCAGATCTTATGGTAAAACATAAATAAAAATAAACCTAATACATAAATTAAACATAAAACATTTATTGCATAAGCCAAATACACTTTGCGACATAAATACATTTTGTGAAGAAACCGCTGTAGGATACACATTATAGAATGGGTATTATGAATTATTAATATTTTATAAATAACAAAACCTCAGGATACCACCTTTAAACGAAGGAAATGCATCCATTTATGGTTTATATTATTATCAGTTTCAACAAATTAAATATGTCACAAACACTGCCACTGAAGACAAAATAATCATTCCATTTTGGATGGTAGTAGCTGAGAGTCATTCCTGTCACATCATTTGTTTAAAGCTTTGGCAGGCTAGGAACAGAATATAAATCTATTTAACTCCCTTTTTTGTTTCAGTTCAAGGACACAGTTTTTCATTTGAAGAGATAATTATTTTATTTATTGTAGTGCATTTCTTTATTATTGATCAAAATTTTAATAATTAGTCTGTCAGGTACAGAGCTCATGAGATGAATGCTGAAACTGAAACGATCTTCTGAAACTCATTAATCAGCTAATTTTGTTTGGATTGTCAACAACAGACTGACTCTGTTGTTTTTGTCTAAGAGCTGTGATTACTTCCTGCTGCCTTCAATCCATCAAACTGACAGAATTAACACATTTGTTCAGAAGCTCATTTATCCATATTATTGGACAGATGTTAGACAGATGTTGCTGTATGTTAATGTGTGGCTCCTTCCCACTTTGATTTACCCCTCCCATCTTACCAGGTTCTGTTTGTTCACCTCAGGGAACCTGGAGTCCCATCTGAGAACTCACAGTGGAGAGAAGCCATTTCCCTGCCCAGAGTGCAAGCAGGCATTCACTCAGAAACCTGATCTCCAGCGGCACATGTTCTCCCACACCGGAGGGGGGTTCCTCTGCAGCTACTGCGGCAAGTCTCTGAGGGACCCCCACAGTCTGAGGTACCATGAGAGGCTGCACACCGGAGAGAGACCCCACCACTGCTCGCTCTGTGGAAAAGGTGAATCTCTTGGTGATGAACAAGAAATTATTTTTCCTCAAACCTTTAAAATAATCCTGTTTGTTTCATGTGATAATGTGACTTGTCACACGCCTGTAAAACTGATTGTTAGTCATTTTGTGTTGACTGATGTCTGTAAGCTGTGGCAGCCATCTTGAACAGAAAAGACTGAAAGGTCCAGCATACTCCATCTGAAGCAGAACAGTCGACTTGTGGTCATGTTTGGTTTCACGCAGGACGTTTTGTTTTGCAAACACCTTTCAGAGTTCATGAGACACAGACACAGAGCTCCTAGGAAACCCCTCCAGCTGCAGTACACATTGCTGCATGAGTTTCTTTTCAGCAGACAGACTCCTCCATACACAATGTCTGCACCAGCTCCATCCAGGAGTTTTTGAACATTTGACCAATTTAGTGTGTTTGAAGAGTCAACAGCTGAAGGTCTGTGCACATTTACAAACATGCCCACAAACTTCTGACCAATCACACAATACCTGACGCCTGTGAGGGGTTCAGTGTTTTGCCCAGGGACACTTCGGTATGTGACTGTTGGTGGATTCGAACCCCCAACTCTTGCCCTGGAGGATGACTGCTCTAACCACTCAGCCACAGCCGCCCCTTCATGACGCAATTACGTCAATGAGAGTCGATTTTGCTGCTTCAGATGGAGTATGCAGAGCTCTTAATGGTGTCATGATACCGCTACTGGTATCTGTATCAGGCCCAGTACCAGACTAAAATACTAGTACTTGTACTCATAAAACACCCTGATACTTTGGACCAATTCCAGTTTTTTGCTTGGTGACATCACTTCCTCTTCCACTCGACAAGTAAAACAAATCTGTAGTTTAGAGATATGTTAAGATAAACACACGCGATGTTACGACAGCAGACTGTTTTCTGTGTTTTAATAGAAAAAGTGAGTTTCTGAAGTCATTATGTACTAACTCAGAACTACTATGAAGTCACTGGTATTCTGTATCGGCAAGTACTCAAATTGAAGTACTTGTACTTGGTTCAAAACAACTGGAGGTTATGAATATAACCAATGTTTCCTGAAGGAAGGAAACGAGATACAATTCACTTAAAGATCCAGAAGCTTGGTAAAGTGCATGGCAGATTAGGGTCATGAGACCACGCTGCATATTTATAACCAGGAGGGCGGGGCTTCCTGTGCATGCAGCGCTCTCATTGGTCTTGACAGGTGTGTTGAAAGAACTTCTTCAGGTTGGTCTCACGAGGGTGAAAACCCCATCCTCATGCGTTGTACCTCGTTCCACCACCTCAGTGATCATTGGTAATATTCTGTAATAACTTCCAGTTTTTATAACTCAGATCTTGATGTAAACGTTGATTATAGAGAAAAAAGTTGATACAAAATCAAAAATCCACACTGAGCTCTGCAAAGTTTGTAAAAATATTTTTCTTTTAATATCCTGATCATCAGAACCTGATGGAGTGTGTGTGCATGTGTGTGGTTTATAAAATTACTCCCTCCTCCACTCACCAGGATCCATCGCTCTGCAGTGCCTCATACAACCCAAAGAAAAACGTTGGTTACGTACTGTAACCCCAGATTCTACGAATATAGGCGTAGCCCTTTAAGGCTGTCGCTGATAGGTTTATCCCGTTATGCGCAGCATAAGCACTGAAAAAATTTAGTCCATGCCCACCTGCTGTGTGGGCCCCACCCGGTCCGTATAAATTACGTTAAGAGCGGGAAATCGGCTCCCAAAATAGCTTTTTCTTCAGCCATTTAGGAGCCAGTGAGGCCCGACGCTTAAAGGGCTACGCCTATATTCATAGAATCTGGGGTTACAGTACGTAACCAACGTTCTATGTCATATAGGCTTCGCCCTTTAAGGCTGTCGCTGATGGGTTAAGGGCGAAGCGGATGTGGTCCTCGCCTCACTGGGTCCATTCGAACACAGTAAGAAGCGGGAGCTTGCCCAAAAAACGTCTTGTCACTCAGCTCCCCGTGTGCATAACTACGCATCGCGTAATTATGTGCCATGCACAGACGCATGTTGTGTAACTATGCGTTCTGACAAAGCATGAACGCCCCGGAAAACTTTCAACGGAAAGAAGATATTGAAAGGAGGAGGGGGGGGGGGGGGCATGAACCAACTGGTTCATGGCTGAACAGTATAAACAGTTTAATATCAATGAATTGATTATTGATCAAATGAACTGATTGGTAACAATAGTCATGAACTGATTAGTGACAATAGAACCAAAATCACAGACACAACTTGTGACTGATAACAACATCTCACACTGTAATGCATGCAGACAGAAGTGAGCTTAAACAGAGTTCCATGAGAACGACAATATTCATTCTGATAGAGCACTAAGGACAGAATGTGTCATGGAACGAGCCGTCACATCACGTAGGTAAAAGCAAATAAATGAGCAGGGTGTTGACCATGCAGCCGCAGTGCAAATGTCCTGCATTGACATACCATTATGCAGAGCAGTCGAAGATGCGATACCCCTGGTGGAGTGTGCTTTGAAGGTTGACAGGAGGCTCTAAATCTGATGCTCTGTAGGCTTCAGAAAAGGCCTCACACAGCCAGTGTGACAAGCGCTGGGTGGATAACGGGCGACCTGCAGATGCATCTCTATAATGCACAAACAATTGTTGAATTTGACGCATTGCAGCTGTGAGCGCTGTGTAACACGTCAACGCCCGCACCGGACAGAGAAGATGAAAAGATGCTTCTTCTTCTGATC